ATTCTCTTTCTGGTGCGTGTTATTGTTTGAGCTATCTTTTTGGTTTATTTGTTTACCTGTTTGTTGCTTCTCTCCTCTCCCCTACAGGGAGAGGCCTTGTCCCTCTTGCTTGGTGCTGGCCCAAAGACCCAGAAAAGCACCTGCACAGTCACTGGTGGATGAGATGGCACACCCAATCCCCACCCCAGGGCCACAGCCCCGCTGGCATGCGCCGAGTTCCACGATGCCCATGCACCTCCGGCCTCACAGCCTAACACCTTCCTCACTGTCCAAATGCAGAGAAATCTTAAGCCCTGGAAAATGTTACCCAATACACATTTTTTCCAGGAAATGTTTAAATTGCATTCTGAAAGTGTAAAATAAACCAGAAAACCACTAAAGTTCAATGTTAAGAGCTAGAAAGGTCAAATGCCAAAGAGGAGGAAAAGTGAGGCTTTTGCTTTGTAAATAGGAGATGATGTGAGTTCTAATGTTTCCTGGACAAAAGTCAAGGGATAGGCAAGATGGAGTCCTGCATGAGAGACAAGTTTTCTCATCTTGTGCATAAGCCAGAGTTTGGAGACAAAAATGGGGATTGTGATAAGAAACCTCCAGGAAATTCACAGGGACACCTGATCGCTCCTCCCTCTCTGTCCCATGGCAAACTGGCTGGGTTACACCCCCCACCCCATGGCTCCCCAAGGACTGCTACTGGGTCTGATTCATCTTTGTGGGCTGCAATGCACAGGGCCTGGCATACCTTACAGATCTGTTGAACAGAGCCAAGCCTCCTAGTCATGAGATGGCTAAATCACTTTATCAATGTAGGTGCTGATTACTGCTCCAAAATACAAGAATGCGGTGCCCAGTGCTCCTCTGCCGGTCCCATCTTGGACTCACCATGTTCTGAGCTCAAAATTCCCCTGTGCTGCCAATTCCATTGTCTGCAGTCCCTGGACCAATTGGGATTTGAAAGCTCTTAAACCTGCAGATTTCCTCTTTAAATGCTGTGCCTGCAATTCCAAACGCTACCACCAGGTGGCAGTTAGAATTACAGAAGCCTTCAAAACCAGTTTAATCTCTAAAACTATACTTCTAATGAAAACACACCCTAAATTAAAACAAGATACATACACACACACATCTATTTCTTAACTTATCACATTGGCATTGATTTAAAAAGTATGATAATACCCACAGTTGGCCAGGGTTTGGGGAAACATGTAGCATTCAGACGCTGTTGGTGGGAATGTAAATTAGTGCAGCCTCCTGGAGGGCAATTTGGCAATACACATCAAAAGCCCGAAACATGTGCAAACCCTTTGGTCCAGCAATTCAACTTCTAGACATTTATCCTAAGGACATAATCATGGAAGTAAGTCTAGATTTATTCCCAGGATGTTGACTGCAGGGTGAAAAATTGTCACTATCAATACTATAACTTGGAACCTGGTTAAGTAAATTATATATGATAAAATACTATGTAGCTATTACGTCCTATAAGAATTCTTAATGATGTGGAAAAATCTCATGATACATTAAGTGAAAAATATCAGCTACAAAAAACATGTCCCCGGTAATCGCAGTTTTAGACTAAGAAATATAGACACAAACTTGTGCATAAAAAATGCTGGAAGAACAAACGCCAAAATATTGACAGGACTTGTCTGTGGGTGGTAGGGTCGCGGATGACTGCTTTTTCCTTTTCTGTGCTTTTCTCTATTTTGGTAAGTTTTTATAATAAACACGCTTCTATTGTCATCGGCAGAGAGCCACTAATGAACCCCTGTGGCAGGAAGGACGGGCCAGCCTCTGTGCAAGATGCCTGTGGACATGGGACCCCAGCCCGTGTTAGTCTGCACCCCACCCCACAGACGTGGGTGGCTCCTATGTCCACCTCCCCCGCCCCCCACTATCAGGCCCACATATGGACCTGGTTTCCGCTGGTCTTGCTCAGGGGAGGGGCCAGCCTGGATTAATCCAGAAACGCAGCCGGCAGTCTCCACCATGGCCCTCTTGGACTCTTTTCTTGCTCTTACTTCCCCGTAGGACGTGATTTGTTTTAGGCACAAACTACAAAAAAAAAAAAAAAAAAAAAAAAAAAAAAAAAAAGCCCTCCCTGAGGCTGGTTTGAAGTTCACCAGGTAAACCCCTTTTTTGCAACTGCAGGGCCTCAAAGCTGTTTTCTTCGCCAAACGCGGCCAGTGTTTGCTGGTGGGTCGCAATGATTTCCCAAGCTCGTCTTTCCTCCACCCTCCAGCTCCGTGGGTGTGATCTTCCCATGTTCCGAGAGGCCGAGCAGCCAGCCCAGTGTGCACAGCTGAGCCAGGACCCGACTGGGGTCTGACCGCCGGGGAGGCCCGGTGACACTCTGAGCACACGAGGTGCCTCTGAGGCGACTCCGGCCCCTTACCCCGGGAACTGGCCCAGCCTCTGGGATGACCACATGCAGAGGCCTGTAAACAGACCCCAGGCCAAGAGCCAGGCCCTCCACTGGCCAAGAGTGGATTTCAGCTCCCAACATGAGCCCTGAGAGCCTCCTACCCTCCTGTCCACATGGGCCCCCTTTCCCTGCTGCGGGGCAGCCAGGAGGGGTGTTGTCCCCACCCTGTGGCCTCATGGAAGGGCCGGCCCTTAAGGCAGGGCTGCACGGAGGGTGCTTGGTGGCACGCAGCGGGGTCACAGGCTGGCTCCTGGGCTGGAGGCACAAACGCCCAGGCCCAGGGGCGAGCAGGGCCAGCCCTGCCAGGGAAAAGGCCCAGTTTGGTGAGGAAACAGTGATGGGCCTGCAAACTGGGGCTGGGCAACCTCAGGAAAAGGGGTGACCCAGCCCTGGGGTGTGACACTGGCTTCCTGGTGGTGAAGAGCTGGCGGGGCCACAGGCACTGACCAGAGCTGCCAGCAACAGCGCCCTCACCTGCCTCCTTCCCAGAAAGCTGCTAAGTTCACACCAGATGGTCCCACGGCATGCACGTCCGCCCCCGGCCTCCTGACTCCCACATTCAGAGCCCCGTCTCTGGCCCACGCTGGGCACCAGGCATCTCACACACTAACCCCCCTCAGGCGAGATTCCCCGCAGTCCTGTGCCACCCCATGACCCGGCGACCATCGGCTGTGACCGGCAATGTCTGGGTGCTCCAGGAGTGACCTCAGTTCCCCTGAACCCCAGCTCCCCTCTTCACAGGGAAGGAAATGGAGCCTTAGGGCAGCCAAGTGGTTCAATCCCTGGATTCGACCCTCGGCTGCCTCACTCCACACCCGGACTCCTGCCTGTGGCCCACAGAGCCTGCCCCCTCATCAGCCAACGTCCTCTCTGATGCCAGGGAGGGAGGGGTCCTGGGTCACCATGTACTCAGAGGAGAAGACAACGGGTGCCGAGGGAAGAACCCCTCACCAGCCTCCAGCCACCACCCTTGGACCTTGTTATTATTGCTATTAGTTATTATTTTTAACTCTCAGCCCTTTGGACACGGGCATCTACAGTCAGGAGTCAGCTGGAGTGTAAGGGTGCGAGGTCGCCTGGAGGGCGGGACTGGAGGGTTCTGGCAGAAAGCTTTCAGTCCTGAGCTGCTGGATCGAAGAGTCCCACGACCTGAGGCTGAAATATTCCAGCAAAAGCCTGTGGTTCGGAGGCTCTAGCTGCCATGTAGGACCCTCACTCCTCCCTGTCCAGGGGGCTGTGGGGAGGCGGGGGGCCCGGGCCCCAGGTGCTACCTGGCTGGTACTTCACGGGAACCAGGCTGCTGCCGCTGGGGGAGCTGACCCCAAAGGCTACTCTGAGCCCAGCGTGGGCCACTCTGAACAGGAGGTCAATGATCCCAAAGGCCCCACTGAGTCCCACGGGGTCTGGCTTGTGATGCATTTTGCATCACTGTCACCTCCGCAGTCTCATTTACTCCCAACTCCAATGGTGTGAGGGAGGCCTGCACCACCCCACTTCACAGAGCAGGAAACTGAAGCTCAGACAGGTGAGCGCCTTCCCCCAGGTCACCCAGCTAGGAAGCCCAGCATTGGAATCCAAGCCCAGTTTTCCTGATGCCTGGGGCTGACTGCCCTCCACAGCCTCTTGGGACCCCCGGACTGGGACCCCCATCTTGCCTCCATCACCAGGGTCTGGACAGATCTGGCCATTAAAGAGGCCTCTGAATTAGTCCACGTTTCCCGCCCCGGCCTGAGGCCCAGGACAAACACATTTCCCCACACCCGTGTTCGGCAAACCGCGGCATGTGAGCCACATGCGGCTCTTTGGCCCCTTGAGTGTGGCCCTTCCACAAAATACCACGTGTGGGTGCACAGGTACAGTGCGATTGAAACTTCATGGTCCATGCGCAGAAGTCGGTATTTTGTGGAAGAGCCACACTCAAGGGGCCAAAGAGTCGCATGTGGCTCGCGAGCCGCGGTTTGCCGAGCCACAGTTTGCCGACCACTGCCCCACACGATGGTCCTGCCACACTCTCCTTCCACAGGCTCGCCCCTGTGCTGATGCGTCTGGACTTCTATGCAGGACACAGCCCCGGCAGCTGCCTTTCAACCTGCTTCTTATGTGGCCCGCACCCAGCCTGGGCTGGGACGTTGATTCCAATATAAGCTACGTTTTAGGTTTAATTGTAAAAGACCTGGCAAGTGATGACATCACAAAGGCCAAACTGGAACTAAGGTCTTCCGCCCCCTAGGGGTGACGGACAGGGTGGGCGGGACGGGAGTTCTGGGAAGAGGGTGCTCCATAGCCCAGGGCTAGGCCCTGCGAGGGGAGACAGACGGCAGGAAGAGCAGTGCTGGGGGGGCTCAGGACAGCAAGGCGACTTCTCAAAGCGCTTTGCCTTGCCTGCAGGGCAGCTGGAGCTGCGGGCTCCCCACCAGGCCAGCCCCGCAGATCAATAGATCAATGCTAATCCCTCCAAGAAAGACCAGTCCCCGAGGAGCAGAGAGAGAGAAGTGCAGACAGTTAAATAAAGGCTCGGAGGAAGAATACTGGCTTGAGAGAAAAGGGCAAAGAGAGCAAAAAATAAACGGCAAATTACCGGGTAGCCATCTCGTCCTGATTGCCCCTGTGGTAATTAATATGTCATTAATAATCAGACTTTCGGCAGAAAACCATATGGCAGCACTTAGCACTCAATCGGGCCCCACACCGCTCCCCCCCGATGTTCTATGGGTTTGCAGCAGAGGCTGCTGGTGGGTAACTGATGCCTTTGGGGAGACTTAGGGCTCTGGCAAGTCTAGGGGATGGAGCACCCCGTTTCCTGCTGCACTGGGCCAGGCTGCAGAGGCCACCAGGGCACACATCCACTCGAGTCCTCCCAGGGCAGCCGGCACACACATGGTGAGGGCCACAGGGGCACACGGGGCTCCCAACGGTGCTGTCACAGCCACCAAGGAAAATGCTCCTAAACTGCCGAGAGGCTTAGAGTCCGATGAGGGCTTCCTGCCGGCTGCCACTGGGCGGGGGAACTGAGGAAGGCAGGTTCGAAGCCAGAGCTATGGCAGGGAGGCATTTACTGCCCCGATGCTCTGTCCTGGATGCCTGCCTGGCCGCGTCTCACAGGGTGGCATCCAGCTCAGGTTGCAGCCTCAGGATCTGCATTTTGTTTTGTGCACTTAATAGTTCAACCGCACGTTCACAACCCCCAGCTCCACAGCCCTCTGCATTATGCACTTCGGCTACCTTCCCTGTGACGCCAGGAATGACTCCACTGTGGGAAACTGCCTGTGGCCATCAACCTACACACTCCTGCTGGCTGGCTCTCGGGCTCAGCGGGGCGCTGCTAGTGCCGAGAGGCCCGGATTCTGAAGGGTGCCGACCAGGAAATGAATCATGGTAAGTGGAAGTAGAAAATAAAACAGTCATCCTAAAGGAATTCCTTCGGAAGGTGCATTTTGACTCGGGCAGGCTCTCAGTGTGCTTCTTGAATGGAGTCGCCAGGATTGGTTGGGCTCGGAAACCCCGGCGCCATGGCTCATAGACTTGTTGCGTTTCTTGAAGAAGAACCGGGTTTCTGGGTGGATGATCCCCGATGTTCAATGCTGCCTTGGCCACCAGTGCTTCCCCTACACCTTTCTCAAACCCAGTGCCCTTATGGCCCGCTGCCCAACCCGGGGAGCCAAATGGATTTTGGCAGAGAGAAACGGAGCCCGGAATCTAGTTACGAAGCCCAACTCATTCCTGGCGTAACTGCTGGACTCCAGAGCTTTTTGTGCCAAAGCATGTGAGACAAAAACCACAGAAACAGACGCACTGCTGCAGGGCAGTTAGAAATGTGGGTGTGGCGCTCGCCTTCTGTGCCCCCTGGAGCCAAGGCCTGGGTGAGGGGCAGCCAGGCTGCTGCCCGCTCTCTTGGAAGGCAAATGGTCACAGGGGCAAGTGGAGCCTGCTGAGTTCTGCGCTTGCGTGCATCTACAAATTTAAAAAGACACGACCCCTGTCTGGACTGATTTTTTTTTTAGGACACACCTCTCTAACTAAGTATTATTTTCAAGGAAGTGCCACAGAGAGAGAACAAAATGTCTTATCTTTCAGGAGCAGAGACCATAATCCAGGGCACTTACTGGAGGACCTGCAAAACACAAGCAGAGAGGTCACAGTCAGAACCAAAGGGAGAGAGGTCCCCGCCCCGGTGGGCCCGCCCTCAACAGCTACCGGCCTCCCCTCACCAAGGCTGAGACGCTGTCATGGGCCCCAAAGCGAGCGACCGGGCGAGGGAGAGCCTGTGCCCTTGTGGGGCTGGGGTGGGCGTGTGGGGGTGAGGACAATCCCGCACACACCTATGGGTTAACACACTCCTCTCAGGAGGCTGCTGCTGGTCCCTGCGGGGGCCACCCGTGTTGGATCTTGGCCATCCAGAGAGGAACTGAACCTTGTTCCTGCCCGAAGGACAAATTTTGGGAGAGACTTGGGGAGAAAACATTTGGGGCAGAGGGACGAGCAAGCATAGGGCTCTGGGATGTGTGGGGCTGAGCAGCTGTGTGGACGGTGCCTGAGGCCCAGGTGGGGGTGAAGGGCCACGGGCTCGGGTGCACAGGGCACTTGGAGGGGACGCATTAGAAGCTCAGGTGCTGCTGGTGCCGCCAGTTGGGCTTGTCTCCGGAGATGCGGACTCATGAGAACATGCATGACACCGACAGGCGTCTTCACCTTCTGGTGTGCAAAGCACATTGCATATTCATGATGCATCTGACCTTCTGGACAGTTTGTGAGAGGAATGATGAACACTCCCATTTGACAGGCGACAACAGAAAACAGTGTTAGGTGCGGAACTCAAAACCCTCCATACTTTCCACTAAGCCATGTCTGCTCCCGGCCGACCTGGGACTATGGTCTGGAGAGTGAGGCCGCACAGGGAGGCATGTAATGGGACGCAGGGGTAAGTGCAAGAGGCAAGATCTTGGACTCAGAATTTTCCTTGGAAGAACAGGTATTGAAGAAACAATTACACAGGTGAAGGCACAGGACTGGATCGAGGCTGGACCCACTCAGGACGGGAAGCTAGGCCGAGTCTAGAGGGCGAGGGGTGATTCCTGGGAGAGGAATGGGGAGAGAGGAGCATGGCAAAGATGGGAAAACTCACAACACGCCAAGATCACTGGGCTTTGGGGGGCTGCAGCAGGAGAGGGCTGGGGAGAAGGCAGGGCCAGACAGAGCACCGGGCTTTGTCTCTACATCATGACCCAGGGGGGTGTGGGGTGGGGTGGGGCCCTGAAGGCCTGGGCATGGAGGAGTGATTCAAGGGGGCGGAGTGGGCAAGGGGACACGATGCAGCTGCTCCTGTGCAGGCCACACAGCCTGGGCTCCTGCTGGCAGTGGAGATGGGGAGGGATGCATCAGGAAACACTTGTGAGGACAGACAGGTCTGGGTCTTTGATTTAATGGTGGAGGTGGGGGTGGAAGAGCGCATGGGGCATGGAGGAAGGAGAGAGGTGAGACAAAGATTTTTGACTTGAAAACTGATGTATGATGGTGCCAATACCCACGAATGGAACATGTGCCTGTGCATCCCCTGAGTCTAACTATGGCCGGGGCAGGGCTTTGGTCATTGGACACCCACACAGCTGACGTCTCACTTTCAGCCAAAGACCTTGCTCCCTGTTTTACAAAGAAATGAGAAGCTGCTGGATGGACGCCCTGTCCTCTTCCCGATGCCACACGCACACACCTGCCTGCACCCGGGCCTGCGCCCACCTCCTCTCCGGGTCCCTCAGGTTCAGGCGGAGCTGACTCGCCTCCACCTTCCGGGGCCCCGCACCCACCTCCCTCTCGGCCCGTCACAGGCGGGCCCACCTATCGGGAAGGTCCTTCCCACAGCTCTGAAATGTGCTCCAATTCCTGATTTTATTTCATAACTAAAACAATTTTTTTCAATTACAGATGACATAGAATATTGTATTAATTTCAGGTGTATATAACTTATGAAGGATCACCCCCGTAAGTCTAGTACCCACTTGGCACCAAACACAGTTATTATAATATTGCTAACTATATTCCCCATGCTGGACTGTAGACCCTGTGACTACCCTGCAACTACCAATTTGTCCTTTTTAATCCCTTTACCTTTCCCACCCAGCCCCCAAACCTTCTGTCACCTGGCAACCATCAATTTGGTCTCCGTATCTATAGTTTTTTTTTCTCCTGTTTTGTTTGTCTATTTTATTTTTTAGAGTCCACATATAAGTGCAATCCTACAGTATTTATCTTTCTCTGCCTTATTTCACTTAGCATAACCCACTCTAGGTCCATCCATGTTGTCACAAATGGCAAGATTTCATTCTTTTCTATGGCTGAGTAATATTCCATTGCATATTCGTACCAGGTCTTTTTATTTTTTAAATTTATCTTTATTGCTGAAAGTTAAAGATGGCCCCTCCCCTGCTTTTATCCATTTATCCACTGATGGCCACTTGGGTTGCTTCTGTATCTTGGCTATTGTAAGTAATGCTGCAATGAACATAAGGGTGCAGGCATGTTTTCAAATTAGTGTTTTGGGTAAGTACCCAGCCGGGTCATATGGAAGTTCCATTTTTTTAAAAAAAATATATTTTATTGATTTTTTACAGAGAGGAAGGGAGAGAGATAGAGAGCTAGAAACATCAATGAGAGAGACATTGATCAGCTGCCTCCTGCACATCTCCTACTGGGGATGTGCCCGCAACCCAGGTACATGCCCTTAACCGGAATCGAACCTGGGACCTTTCAGTCCGCAAGCCGACGCTCTATCCACTGAGCCAAACCGGTTTCAGCGGAAGTTCCATTTTTAATTTTGTGAGGACTCTCCATACTGTTTTCCATGGTGGTTGCACCAACTTGCAATCTCATCAACAGTGCAGGAGGGTTCCCTTTTCTCCACATCGACAATGACTGCTTGTTGACAGCCATTCTGGCAGGTGTGAGGTGCTCTCTCATTGTGGTTTTGATGTGCATTTCCCTGATGATTATGATGGTGAGCATCTTTTCACCTGCCTCTCAGACATCTGTATATCCTCTTCCAATTCCTCTGATCGAAAAACATCCTTTGCTTCCACACCCTCCTCTGTTCCTGCTCAGTTCTCCTCTCCCTCACAGCCACGTTGCAGGAAAGAGGTGCTGGGAGGTGGGTGGTGTGACAGATCACTCAACCAGTGAGGGGGTGGTCCAGGCTAGAAGCAATGCCGTGGGACCCCAAACCATGGCACCATTCCCACTCTGGGGGGCCAGAGTGTGAATGGCAGCATTCCAGACTGGTCCTGTAGCTGGTGGAATAGGCCACATTTAGCCCATCCGATAGACTCTAAAACACACCGAGCCACCCCCCCTCTCGGGCCCAACTGGCACCATATCGCCAGGGCACCAATGCCTCGCAGGGGCACTACCACACAGCCTCCTGACTGACGCCTTCTTCTGGGCACCCCAACTCCACCAGCTACAGGTGCCTTTAAAAAATGCCCACCCCTTCCCAGAGTTCAGAATTGCACATGGAATAATATCCAAACTCCTGCTCTCCTGTGTGCACCTGCTCTCGTCAGTGCCCACACGCGGCCACCGCACTCCACCTGCTCTCTAGGTTCCCCAAGGGCCCGCTGTCTTTGGCCTCAGGACATTCACATCTGCTGTGTTCCTGCGCTCGGCAGGCCATGGTTCCTAACCACCACCTCGGAAAAGCCTTTCGTGAGCATGAAGTCTGAAGGCGTCTCTTCACCCTTGGCCCCACCGAATTCTATCAGCTCCCTGCTATTTCCTTCCCAGCACCAATCACACTCTTTAGTGATTAACTATTTATTTGTGTGTTGTTTATTATCTGTCAGCCCCATCAGCAAGGCAGCTCCCTGAGAGCTGGGCCCCATCTGCTCAGCTCCCCACCGTCTCCCCTGCCTCGCACAGGGCCTGGCAGGCACATGCACTTAGTAAATGCGAGCGGAATAGATGAGGGGCTCCCGGCAGGCCATCGCCTCTGCTACCCCCTCCTCATCTCACTTCCCCCCTGGGGTTGTGTTGCGGCTGCAGTCGCCTCTGGAGACGGGATCTGGGGCCTGCAGCAAGCGGGGTACACAAGATGCTGGGTGGGTGGGGGGGGGGGAGGGCCTGGCTCAGGCTGTCCAGGGGTCCCTGCTTAGGGAGTGAGGCTGGCTGGAGGGCCCCCATCCAACCATGTGGTGGTCCCCCGACTGCCCAGCTCATTCTGCACACAGCTTTCAAACATGTGTTCCAGGCATTGGCTGGATCTGCTCACTTTGCTGTCAGGAATGTGGGAGCAAGTAAATAAGAGCCAGATGACTTGGGAAGTGAATGAAATGAGTGAGAGAGTAGAGGGGTCAATGACTCTGTGGCCTCTTTAACTGAACTGATGTGGCCGGACAGCGTTTCCCACTTGCACCCTGAGGTTGGGAGGGTGCACGAGTGGCTTGTTGACAGGTAAGCAGAGGTGTGTAGAGTTTCTGCGGCCCCACTGTGCCCACCTTGAGCTCTTGCCTCCTCCCAGGATGATCATTGCCTGAGTGTTTCCCAAATGGAAAAGCAAACTGGGAAGAATATTTCCCACTGCCTGGCAGGTGCCCAGCTGCATGCCGGGAGGTAAGGGCTGGCCTTGGTGCCTGAGGCTACCAGGTTACTGTCCATGCTCACAGCCCACGCCTGCTGCTCTGTGTTGCACCCGGACTCCTGATGCCCACTTTTCCTGCCCCCTGCTCTGCCCAGGAGGCCCTGGCTCTGACCCAGGCCTCTGCCTCCCACAACAGGCCCTGGCTCCTGACTTTTGAAAACCCAAACCTACCCCAGCATGAGGACGACCTTCAGTCACGCCTCCAGGGTTTCCCCAGTGGAGCAGAGTGAACCGAGATGAAATGAGGCTTGGGGGTTGGCAAATTCAGAGCCAATAATGAGTTAGTGAGCTGGGCACTTAGCCTAGGCCTCAGGCCCTGGCTTTAATTCGACGGATTCTATCAGCGAGTGTGGAGGCCTCAGGCCCTGGCTTTAATTCGACCGATTCCATCAGGGAGTGTGGAGGCCTCAGCACCCTGGCTCTCTGGGCGAGTGTCTGTTTTCCCTGAGGCGAAGGCTGCTCCCGTGAGGTGGGGAGGTGCCTCTGGA